TTTGCTTGCGACTAATGATCTTGGTCTATTAAGTAAGATTGGGAGGGAGGTTTGTCTTTAACAACTTTAAAATAAAAGATATGGATAAGACATGTTATATAATATGAATAAAAATATTTCGTAATAGATCATAATGATGGTTACATTGATATGAGAAAGCATATACTAAGCTTAATACCCTATTTTGTCCCCAGTTTCGCTCGAAAATGTCAAATTAGTTCATCATTTAAGAAATGCATCAATTACGTCCTTACTTAATAAAATTTGCATCAATGAAATCCTTTCCATTAAATCCGTACAAACGACGTTAATTATTTTTCTCTCTCTTCTACTTTTTCTACTTTTTCTGCTTTTTTTGTGCAACGCAACAACTTTTTCTCTCTCTTCTACTATTCTTCTTATTTCTCTTCTCGATGATTTCATAAGCTGGATTAACAAGGTTTCCATCAGAATCATACTTGAATAAGCGTGATACTCCAGTCATATTAACCTCATAAATATGTTTACGCAGCAAATTTCCTTCGTTAAAGATCTTCACAGCATCAAGATGCATGTTGTCTCCACGTATTTGAGATAACTTTGGATCATGTGAAAATGTAATTTGATTCCCTCGTTTGAAAAATGCATCAAGTGCATGAGCAAGAGCAAAAACAGTATCATATGCAAAGATACCATAAGTACTCAAACCAAGGGTACCATTACCATTCTTTCCAGAAGTAGTCATGTTTGTCCACCTAGAAATAAACCATCTTTTGAGCTTTGAATCTGGTACATACATACGTAGTGCAATGACCCCTTGCATGTCATTTGTTGCATCTGGAGATAGGGGACTATGTATATCCAGCCAAGTAGAAAGAAAAGTAGTTGTTATCCAGACATAACCATTTTCCATCATCCCAAGAGACTTTGCCACACTTAAGACTTTTGGACCCCAAGCAGTACTTGTGTGAAGAACTATAACCCGGGATTCTGCCAGGGCCACCTGAACAAGTACATCAGTAATCTCCTCTCTAGTTGCCTCAGGAGTCATAGGTGCTTTAAATGAAATCTTACAACGCCTCTCGGCAAGCTTATCCCCTAATGCACCCATTCCATTCCTCCCATGGTCATCGTCACCATAAACTGCAATTACCTCTCTCCATTGAAAGTAGTTAACGAGGTATGCTATTGCAGTCATCTCATAGATGTCACTAAAAGCAATTTTAATAAAGAATGGGAATTGAAGAGAAGAAAGGGTAGGGTCAGTGGCTGTAAATGATAGCAAAGGAACTTGGAGCTCATTTGCTATATGAGATATGACATGAGCCGTTGTAGAGGTCTGGGGACCAATTATAGCCACAATTATAATTGGTAGAAGAGAGAGAAGAAGAATAGTAGAAGAGAGAAAAAAGCTGTTGCGTTGCAGAGAAAAAGTAGAAAAAGTAGATGAGAGAGAAAAATAATTAACGCCGTTTGTACGGATTTAACGGAAGAGATTTCATTGATGCAAATTTTATTAAGTAAGGACATAATTGATGCATTTTTTAAAGGATGAACTAATTTGACATTTTTTAGCGAAACTGGGGACAAAATAGGGTATTAAGCCCATATACTAATAAAGTTTTAAAGAGATTTAAAATGGATAGATGTTAAACATTTTTCATTCCAATACATAAAGGAGATAAATACAGTCTCATGCAATGTCTAAAGAATGATTTGGAATAAAAGTAAATTACAAATATCTCTTATACATTTGTTATTAAGAGTTTGATGTATTCTCAAACATGTACGATGCCAAATATTAGCTTTGCAGTTGGTATGCTTGGTAGATATGAAAGTAATCCAAGGTTCAATCATTGGCAAGTTGTAAAGAAAGTTTAAGATAGATATGAGGAACAAAGAAACACATGTTTACTTATAGGAAATCCTATCACCTCAAAGTGATTGGTTATACAAATTCAAACTTTGTTGACTGTAGGGATACAAGAAAGTCCATATTTGGTTATGTGTATCTTTTAATCGGATGAGCAATTTCATAAAAAAGGTGTGAAACAGTCTATCATTATTGCATCCACTATGGAAGCTAAATTTGTGGAATGCTTTGAGACCACAATTCAAGCTTATTAGTTATGAAACTTTATTTTAGAACTTGAAGCAGTAAGCCGTTGAAAATTTATCATGATAATTCTGCAATAGTCTTCCTTTTTAAGAGTGACAAGTATTCCAAAGGCGCTAAACATATGAAATTGAAATACTTTATCGTTAAAAAATAAGTTCATAATCATAAAGCGTTAATATAACAAGTTAGCATTGATATTATAATTGTTGACTCTTTAACAAAAGGGTTACCACCCAATTTTTTTGCCGACCTGGAGAATATGGACATTATGTCTATCATTGAATGTTAATGTTATTAATGCTTATGTGACACTCTAAGCTTTTTAATTCATAAGTTTATGAGATTTGTGTTTTTTTTCTTTGTGTGCATGTGCATGCAAATTACAATAAGAAAAACAAATTATGTTATTGTTATTAAAAATGACATTATCTTTGAACCCGACTTCTCGTTGCAAAGTTATATTAAGGAAAAAAGGATTATACAATAGTAATGGAAGAGAACATGTGGTCTGAATGGTTTGCAACTGCCATGACTCTTGTTATTTCTCTATGTTTAATTATGAATAATAATTGAACCAATTTATGTAATGTTATGACCATATGAGTCAAGTAGAAGAATTTTAAAATTAATTGACAAATTAATTATTATGTGACTCCTTAAAATAAATATTATGATGAACCTAAATGTGGTTTAATAAAATACAAGGACTCATGGGTTATTATGAGAAGTTATATTAAAATAAAATAAAAACAAATTTAATGGATATTGGTTAATAAAAGAGGATTATGGTTTTGTATTTGGCCATAATGTTCTTTTCGAGTAAGTCATCAAGAAAGTGTGACAAGAAAAAAAAAAAAGACAAAGAACCATGTGTTGAACCGATTTAATTGAAACACTCTAGGAGTGTTTGTCTTTGAGTATGCATCCCAAAACAAATTAACTACTACTTTATAATAGACATGATTATGAGAAATTAAAAGGTTTCTATTATTTTTTAACACAATATATGAGTTATCATATTTTCTTAACATTTTCCTACTACTCTATAATAGACACAATTATGTGAAATTAAAAGGTTTTTATTATTTTTTAACACAATATATGGATTATCATGTTTTCTTAACATTTTGCTTTGTCCCAAACAACTTTCCACTTATTCCTCACCATCTCATTCAATCATTATATTGCTTTTTTCATTCTTATATGGTAATAATAATAATAATTAAATTTGGTCTTAATCATTTTGACTAACATAATAATTGTAATGGTTGTACCAACTATTTTAATAATTTAAATTATATCATCATATCATATGAATCTAATGTCCATGTCAAAATATTGAAATTCAACACATGTATAAATATTTATTTTTTAAAAATGTTCTATAGTGATTGTTTGTTAGTTGAAAAATTGTTTAATAGTTATGTAAATGTAAACCGGTGTTTAATAACTTTAAATTTGTCTATTAATGTAAGTGTTCAATGACTTACTAATTTGATGAACCAATGATCATTTCCTATGTTTTACTATGTTAGTTAGAAGTTTTGTATACTTGTAATTAACAAGTTATTGTCTAATACCTAGAGGCATACACTTTCTTAAAAAAATTAATATATTAAGTTACAATTAAATACCTATTAGGTAAGCTAACCAATAAAATAATTATGTTTAGTTTCCACATTAGTATTACATTATTTCTCTGGTTCTTTGAACTCATTTTTACAATGTCCAATATTTGATATAAATATTTTTTAAGAGTGACAGTCTCAAACATCCGTTTTCAATTAAAAAAACATAAATTCATCTTGTTCAAAATTTCAAAAACACAAAATACAAGTAAAAAAAATATAATACTGATAATTTATAATGTTATAATTATTTACATATCTATTAATTTGAAAATTGATGATGTACCCACATGTTTTTTACTTAGGAGAATCAACACAATTTCCAATAAATATTCTTTCATGAAAAATAATATCATAAAATGATATGATAAGATTGAAGTGGTTGCCCATATAAAGATTCTGACATGACTGGACAATGTTAATTTGAAAGAAATAATAAAAAGTGTTATATGATAATTCAATTTAGCTATAATGTCTATTTGTTTTTTTCTATGAATTTTTCACTTACTACACATGTTTAAATTATTCGCAAAAAGTTAATCGAGTCCCTCCATTATAAATAATAAATTGTATTATTATACTAATTTATAACATCTTTTATTCTTCATAATTTTTTATTTACTTTTGGTAAAAATAATTATTAATAATAAAAATGACGAAGATGTCCATTAGGTAAAACTTAAACCTAAACTTATTTTTAACTTGTTTTTATGTGCACAATTAAAATATCTTCATTTACATTAAGATGACACTTAATTGCTAGAGTATCTTCTGACTCACAAAATCCTTTATAATAAGTAGGATGAGTACCAAATCCACAATATTATGACAAATTTATACCAAAATTTAAAAATGCTATTGAATGACAATAATTGTGCTCAATAAATTATGATATTAGTGCTTTTCTATACCTATTACCTTTTTTTTGACCTCTAAAAGGGTTTTAAATAAAAACAAAATATATTAAAAGATAACTTAGGAAAAGACTCTACAAATATATTAAATAATTATTTATTATAAAAAATCATCTGCACTAAAATTTAAAAATTTATATTTATTTTAATAATTACTTTATAAAATATATTTATTTAATAATTATATTTATTATAATAATAATTATTTTATTTTTCATTATAAAAAAAGTGTACGCTTGCAATTAGGTGTTTTCAGTATTTTGGATATTTAATTTTCTTATATAATTTTATTGTAAAATGGATTATCCGGAAATATTTTTTAGTCAGAACAAAGGAAGTCAATACAAAAAATTAAAAATAAGAAAGAAAAAAAAAAGAAGGAAATAAGAGGAGTGAGATGAGGGCAAATCATAGGAACAAAGCAAAATGTTGAGAGTTGATCCCTAACCTCTGTGTTGCCCTCACCTCTCCTAATCTCCAATTCCCTTTCAACTGCAAATTGAAATTCAGTTGTGTCTCCCAAAACCAATCAGATTCATCTATGCCCTAAAACCACCGGATCAAATCAAATCGAACAAAACCAACTCAATTGCGCGATCAGAAGGTTCTCTCTCTTGAATCTTGAAATCTGCTTTTCCACTCACACTTTCTCCATCCTCCATTGTCTATAAATAAAACGCGCAGATTGTCAATTATTTTTGTTATTTAGTTATATATTGATTATGATTAGTTAATTTTGTTTGAGACCAATGAAGGTTCGTCCTTAACAAATGAGTGAATTGTCTTGTTTTGTCATAAATTAGTTTACATCAGATAAGAGAGTTTGGAATGTTAGACAAAAGGTTTGTTTTGCCATACATTATAGGGGGATTCTTGTTCCCTTCATTATTGTGCTTGTATTTTTTCTGTGTTTGTTGGTGTTTGAAGTGGCACTTAACTGATACTGTGTATGAATTGCAAAGAGACACACAGAGGTGAAGGAAGAAAAAAATTAATGCCACAGATGGATTTATATAATTTATGAGTGATATAATCTTAAACCTCTGTTTGTTTTCTTTTGTCATGTTTAAGCAAATTTTAATTTGCCTATCCTACTTGGACTGCTGCAATCTGATTAAATTACCCAAATTTTCCTTATATTTGAACTGAAGCCCTAATTCTAGGACAAAGTGTCACTGTTCCATCATATGAGGCCGAATTATGTTTGTCTTCAATTGATGTTTCAGCTCCAAATTCTAGTATGGTAAAAAATTTTCTATAGTTCTATTTAGGTTGGTAGAAAGATGGTTGCATTGTAAGATGAGAATTAAACCTCACTTATATACTATAATCCTTACTATTCCTAGTTGATGTTGGTTCTCTAATGCACCTCACACCTAGGAATGACCCTAGGATAGGTTCTAAATGACTTTGATACTGTTTTAATTGAGTTTATACTTACTGTAAATCTTATTTGTAAGTTTAGGATTACATCCCACTTATATATTATAATATGATATTATTCATAGTTGATGTGAGATCTGCAACACTCTATGATGTCCTGACATTTGTCAAATCACTTTTATGATTATTATTTGCGAATTTGTTTGTTCTAAAATTAAAGTAACACATCATATAATTACTTTTAGTAGGCTTATGCTCATTATTATTATGGGGTTATGAGTGCTGCTCCATAATCAGTTTATGGAGAAAGTCAATTGCAATCTTATTTCATGATAATTATTCAGCAGCTAAGAAATGTAACTGTTAATGATGCATGTGTATGATGTTTTGCTTATAAAGTACATAACTTATTCAGCAATTCAACCAGAGTCAGTGAGAGGAGTGAAAGTTGTATTGTAGATCCATTGTCTCAATTGTGCAGTCAAGGTAATCTAAACAGTGGGCACCTGACTTATTCAATCTTCCTTTTCCATCCAGACTTGCGATGGGGAAGGGAAGTAGAAGTTTCTAGACTTACTTGGTCAATTATGTTGTAAAAGTTCAAGATATTACATGAGATGTGGAAGGAATGGGGAGTCAGAAATTGAAGGGCCTAAGTTTGTCACCAAAGATGAAAAATTACACCTGAAGATTAAGATGTGAAAAACTCACAAGGTCAAGGAGAACATATAAATTTCAACAGTAAATTAAACTTTACCCAAAAATGCATATTCATAGTTTTGTAAGTCTAAATTAGTTAAAATTAGTTAAAATCACAATGAACTCATAACCAGCTAGCCTAAATGCTTAGAGCAAATTCTGTAAGCAAGGGCAGAACTGCACAATCCAGCAACAATACAAGACTTTCAGATTCCAGAAATGTGGAACAATAGCAGAATAGAGACAAGAGTGCAAGGTATTAGAATATATCAGTAGAAAAAAAGAGGCAAAACAAAGCACAATCGTGAAGTGGATGCAAGAGCAGAGGCATAGTGATAAGAGAAGAAGAAAATGTACAATTGATTATGGTCTCAGCTCAAACAATGCAAAGTAAAAAAAAGCCTGTGCAAGAATGATCATAAACAGAAGCATTAATTTTCACAATATAAGATTGTATGATAATCCTCACAATTTTCACTACATTTTTATTGAAAAGTGGTAGTACTATAAGACAAGATTATTTCATATTTGAGATTTTCTGAGTTTGGTCATTTAGTCCTTTTCAAGAACTAACTTTTAATTATATAGTGAAGTATTTAGGCCATAATTATATGTTGGAAAAAAATGGAGGAAATTTGGCTTATATACTCATTGATTAGTTTAGTTTTATTACATGTCAAGTTGATAATTGTATCATAGAATGGTTACCTTTCATTACTTCTATTCATTCTATTTTATATACCAATTTTTAACTGTCACATTACTTTGCATATATTTAATTTGTTGAATCCCTTTTTGTTGGCACAGATTTTTCTATTTCCAAAGGTTCATGGTATTCTCAACTGCTTTTCTCCATGAAGGGGGCCCCTTTTATTCTAGAAAAAGGCCAAGGGCATTAGATCTTGGACATCAAGATATAGATTTACATGCAGATGCAGAAAGGTCTTAATTTTTTGGTCATTACATGATATTCTTGCATGGTATAGGTCTTTTACGTGGTGGAATTAATAAAAAAATTTCCATTCATAGCTTGTTAGACATGCTTTATCACTCAATTCATTGAGGTTCAATTTGGTTGTATGTTTGATTGTGATTTTTCTAACAAATCATTTCATTTCAGAGTCCATTCATTATTATGTTATGATATTATCTATTTGTCATGTTTTTTCTGCTAGTAAGTTGATATTTCTGACATGCTACCATATCATTTCATAGGGACTTGTATTTGGATTTTGGATTTTACTTTTATTTGTTTTTTGTATTCCTGAGTAGGATATTTCATATTATTTATTGGTTGTATCCCTTCGTATAAATTATTTTCTTTCAAAAATCATTAAAGACAGAGAAAGCTGCTGACAATTGATGGAATTAAGACTACTAATTTAAGGCCACATTTTACACTTAAGACATTAATCTGTGAAAAAATCTTACCTCCACTCCTTTTTTGTTATTAAATTTTCTTATTTGTTTGAGTGCTTCCCTAGGTGCATTAGTACTGGTGATGTTCCCTCTTCCAGTAACACTGACGATAAAGTTGACCCAGATTCTGGAATGGAGATGAGCTGTCCATCAAATGTTAACAATGGCTATGTTCCTGTGTGCTCTACCACAGGGAATATATCACACATGGACCAGAGTTTATGTGGCTATGTGCAACAGCCTGCTGTAGTGAGTGGATGGATGTATGTGAATGAAAGTGGGCAAATGTGTGGTCCCTATATTAAGGAGCAGTTATACGAAGGCCTAACTACTGGTTTCTTGCCATCTGAGCTTCCTGTGTATCCAGTGATTAATGGCACAATAATGAACCCTGTACCATTGAATTACTTCAAGCAGTTCCCTGATCATGTTTCCACTGGGTTTGCATATCTGATTATGGGTATCTCAGGCACTAGGATGCCTACAACGGCAGTATATGAACAAGGTAGATCTTTTGAGGCTGTTCCTCTGGCTAGTAACCCAGATTCGGAATCTGTGTCACATTCACATGTTAATTACTGCAGTAAGGAATCCAATCACTTAAATCCACACCCAGAGCCAGTCAACAGTTTAATATCTTGTCAGATGGTAGTGCAATATCTACTCTTTGTTTTGTCCTGTGAAAGTAAGTTTGCAATACATTGAGGGCATGTCTTATGGCTTATTTCAGTTACGTGAAGAATGCTGTTGGCTTTATGAGGATGAGAAGGGTATGAAACATGGGCCCCATTCTATCAGTGAATTGATTTCTTGGCACAGTCACGGATATCTTAAAGATTCAGCAGTGGTAAGATGCATGTTTTTTTCCGATGAAATAATATTATAGGCTGCAGATCTGTTGCAGTAAATGATTGAACGATTATCCCATTATTTATCATCATCTTTTAGGGTGTGTTAAATTTTCCATTCACACAGTTCAAGTCACTCAAATGTGACCGGAAGAAATTAATCTTCAACATTGTTTAGAATGGAAATACAAACATGCACTTAATCTTTTGCCTGATTTGCCATTTTGGTTCTGGAACATTGTGTGTACTTTTCAATTGAGTTGGTCCTCTAAAATCATCTGGGAAGGAGAAACACAATACTTTTATTCTCATATCAATGGTACAGTCCATCATTTACAGCATTAGAAAGAGAATAATAAAATCCCAATCCTAAAATTATGCGATGTGTTTATTTTCCCCTTAATTCTAGAGATTCTGATGTCCTATCGTAATCTGAATTTAACAGCCAAATCTAAACTTTCCTAATTTATTACAGCATTCTGAAACTTCTTAACGGAAATTGCTGACTCATGTAGAAGTATACTGATTTGGTAATTGCAGAATTGTTGTAGTCAACAAATATTTTGATTCTGCAGCAGCATGTTTGTTCCCATCTCAGTACTTTTCCTCAAGATTCTACTATGATTCATTTCAAAAAGATTTAATTGAAAATCTTTAAATTTTAAAGACTTGAGTGAAGCCCATATTTTTAAAGTACTTAGTTTTGAAGTTAATTTTCAGGGACCAAACTTTTTTTTTCTTAAAGTACTTTTAAAACTGGAGTTTATTGTCATTATATTTTATAAGCCTATGATATCATACTTGTTTCCCTGGGGTTCAAGACATGGACTGGACTAGTGGGTCTACTTCTAGCTAACAGTCTAAGAGGTTATTGGAATTTTGTGATGGCCAAAATTTCATAGGTGGATCGGAGAAGCCTAAGTTTTGCAATGTTGGGTTAGTTGAGGTTTTAAGTGAATACCTGTTAATCAGAACATGTGATGAGGTTTTTTTTTGGGGTTTGAATTTTATTTAATAAATTAACATTGTGCCAAATGAGATGAAGCAACTTTCTTTTCTATCCTTTTGCTGTTTCTCTATCTATGGTTTTTCTTGATAATGTTCCTATGTCTTGATCAGTCCCTTGGAATAACAATGAAGCCCAGTTAAGTTCCATCCTTTGGTGTTATGTACCTTTCGTGTTTTCTATTTCAAAGGTCGTGCACTTTTCTTTTTTCACAGATAATGTGCCATCTTAAAATATGGTCCCTCGATTGTTTTACTATTGTGATCACTAATTTATTTTTAATGCTATAAAGTATCATCTCTATTTTCCTTGAACTTAAGTGTCACTATTGTGTGTATAATAAGGTTATGGGGTTCCTAAATCCCAAATCGAAGACACAAGTTTGGGGGATATCTTATATGTTTATATGATTAGAATTTTATAGAATTGGAGTGTTTTTTTGTTATTATGATATTGAGATTCTCTGAAAATTTGTTTTATGCTATTTTAAGTTGAGACAAGAGTCGATCAAAAGGAGGAGAAGAAAAGTTGATAAGAATGATCGGGGTAGTGGTTGTGATTCATGGTCATTATGGAATTGTGTCCAGTTGCAGCAATAGTAGTTGTAACTGTGCTAAAACCTTATTGTATTTTGGTTCATTGCCTTTTTATTGGTTGGTAGATTCTGTATGGTAGCAGACGGTATTTATTTTAGCATATGATGTGGGCAATGGTCGGCCTGGCTAATCTGCTTGGGGCATTTTCGGCAAAGTTCTCATTGGACTACTGATGGAACATACTTTTATCCAAGATCTGTGAATTTGATTCCTTGCCCTCCCGTAAGCTCTGATGTGGTCTAGGGCCCACCTGCTCCCCAAAATAAATATGTGCAATGGCTAAGATTCTCTTCAACATGGACAAGGGAATATCTTCTCCCCTCGTGGTCCTCTCTTAGACTACCATTTATTTAGCCTATTGAAAAACAGAGTTAGTTTTTGGGGCTTCCCTCACTCATGTTACTGGCCTCCAACATCAATGACACCGCTCCCTCCTTGTATAGGTCATTGTCATCGTCCCTGCTCTTGCCTGATAAAATCTCTTGTCTAACCAAGCCTTCTAATTCAATCTTCAGCCAATGGTAGATGGTTAGAGGTCCTTTTTGTTTCTACCAATGGATTTTTTGTGATGATGTTAGAGAGGACTGATAAAGAATTATTTTAAAGAAATATCAAGTTGCATGTTAACTAAATATGGCACACTCTTGTTTCACTGGTAGGGAAGAGAAACCACTCATCCCAACTTTAAAAGGCATCTTGAGACCCATTGACAATCAGAGTTCCATTGCCTTTTGGTTCTTCACTCTTGAAACTTGATTGAAGTCAACCTGGCTAATACATTTTAAATTTCATTTTTTGTTTCAACCATTAGTTATTATTGTTTTTCTTTCTGCATTTTCAGTCCTATGTGTAATTCTGTTATCGGTTGGCTTTTCCTAAAATATAGCTTGTGGCTTCAGGTTTGTTTTTGTAAGTTTTTTTGTGAAACTTTAATGTAAATATCCAGTGTATGTAGTTTCTGCTTTGAACTCAACTCGAATTAGTTTTCTTCCTGATGCAAGGGTTTTAGAGGTATCCAAATGGTTTGGTATTTCATGATGTTTGAATAGCATCAGTTTATTGCCTGTGTTTATTTTAGGATGCTGGTTTGGGCCTAAGCCCAACAAAATGGCCAAACAAAGATTTTATTACAATTGCTAATGTTGTCAGTTTGTTAGAGGGGGAAGCATACATATTGGGCGTGGGCATAGTATGGGGAAATAATTCAGAATAATTTTTTATTAGAATCTTAGAGGTTGGGCCGAAATCATCTAATATCTGAGGAGCAATAGCACTTGGCTAACTGTGGGGACCTTTTGTTACGTAGTACATCTAGTTTCCAATCAATAATACTCTTTCTGTTTCTCTTTAATTCATATTTCTATCAAGTTACAATTGTTTACTCTAGAAAGAGTAATGTTACTATGTCAATCACCCTTGTGACCGGCTTTTGTTAATTGACAGATCTTTCATTATGATAAGAAGTGTGACACCTTTGTGCTATTGTCTGTTGTCAATGCATTAAAAGGAGATACCACTGGAACCATTTGTAGATCAGGTTCTAAAATTAATGAGGTTGACGATATGGTAGAGTTGATTAGTGAGATATCTGAGAACATTTCTTCCCAATTGCACATGAGTATCATGAAAGCTGGTCGCAGAGTTGTGCTAGATGGAATTATTGGAGATATTATTGCTGAGTATGTTACAGATAAGAAATGTAAGAGGCAAAAGCTTGAATCAGTTGCCCATACTCCTGAAAACAAGATGGTAAGTTTAATTCCTTTGCAAGTACTATTGTTGAAAGCTTGAAATTGTGTGCATCTTACTAAGATGTTGAATCTTTGCTTTAACAGTTTATGTTTTATGTGTAGGTCAGTAAAGGTTCTGTTATTCCCAGTGATCCTGCTACTACTTATATTGATGATGATGAGGCTTATCATGAAAGCTCGAGACTTCCCTCAGCCAGTTTTAAATCAGTTGGAAGCGTTGAGAATTTTTGGTGGTCATATGCTGTTGTTCGCAAGGTACTTCTTGCTTATTGCATGCAAGTCATGTGGAATGCAGTGTTTTTTGATACAATAGCAGATTATTTATATTCTTGGAGGAAGAGGAAGATTTGGTCTCATCCTGAGCCTCAACCATCTACTAATGCCGAGAAGATTGAATCAGAAGCTGTAAGTACTGACTTCTGCATAGCTTGCTTGATTATTTTTTTTGCTTAAGTTGTACCTATAATGATCATACAATCATCCTGCAGTTGGTTCACAAGCCAGATTTCCCTGAAAGCAATGCTAATGGCTATAATCAGTTTGGAGTATTAGTAACAAAAGGAAATCATCCTCATTCATTTTTATCTCCTAGTGGGTTCAAAGGCGGAAACTTACTGAAAGGTCAAAATGTTTCTTCTCCTTACAATGACTCTAAAGATTTGTCATTCATTGTTGAAAGTGTGGAGAATGAGCTTCACTTCTCTTCGAAGGTATCTTTTGCTGATTACATACGACATTTTGTTGAGAAGGAAGTGAACAAAATAGTTCCTTTCCCAGAAGAAAACAAAATAAATGAGGTAAATTGATTGTAAGCTTTATTATCCTTTTTCTGTACGGGCATTTTATATTGAAAAATCCTTTAATTCTTGCAGGTTGCTGTTAGTGACACTTGCTTTTCAGATATACTTGCTGACAAAACGTCTGTGAAGGAAATTCTAAATGAGAAGTCTTTGGATTCTTTTGAGGAAGGAAATTCATTTGGCAAGTCTGCATCTGGAAACCTTATGTCTGATATATTTTCAAAAGCATTTAAGGAGTTGTGTGGATATGGAGATGATGTGGTTGAAGAGGAGAGTGATAACCTACCACCTGGAATTGAAGAGAAGAGTCAAACAGTTGTCCTACACCGCGATTTGAAATTTCGACCTTCGAGGTCAGTTGAATGTCATCCTAAGATCACAGAATATGTTGCAACTGCATTGTGCCGACAAAAATTGCACGATGAAGTTCTGGAAGAGTGGAAGTCGTTGTTTCTTGATTCTGTGCTCGATCAAGTATTTAGATCAAGTACCTTAAAGAAATATTTTATGTCTGATGGGCAGGAGGTAACAATTTTATCAATCCCAATATTTCGATAATTACGAGAACATAAAATTCTGCATTTCAGCTTGATCTCTCTAACTATCTTTTGTTTAGTTTTAATTTGTCTTATTATTGATACTTTATTGTTTTGCTTTAATTGATTATAATTCTATAGAAAGGAGAAGCGTTCAATTCAAGCAAGGAAAATTTGAATGGTGCTACTTCTGGACTGGGAAGAATGAAGGAAGGAGAAAAGAGTTCTGAAGTACGTCTGGTGATTGGAAAGAATACTTATTACCGCAAGAAGCTATCACGGAAGGAGTTAGTTTCCTCACAGACTGTAGCAGAAAATGATTCTAGGCCAGGGAAGAAGCCTGTGGGCAAGTTGAGGAAACTTGTTTGTGGAGATGTTAGTGAGGCTGTTGAGGTTGAAATAGCTTCTGTTAAACATGGAAAGACAAAGAAGATTAAAGGGAAGAAGGACTCATGTTCCAAGGGCAGGTCTTCTGTCACTGTCAATGCTAGCTCACAAAGTGATCAATTATCTTTAAAGAATAAAGCTGGTCAGAAAGTGTTGAAGTTTTCAGGTGAAGTCCAAAGTATATTTCGTTGTTAATTTGTAGATACTGGTTTCATGATTATAAACTTGAATTTTAATAAGAGCTGTCCACTTTCAGAGAATGTTGTGAATGTTGTGAAATCCACTGTAAAGAAGCTTTCAGTGCCAACTGATAATAGCGTTCGTGAGAAGAAGGTTGTCAAAAGTGATGGCACTGTTAAAGAGAAAGCCACAGGTCATTCCTCGAGACAGATTCAAAGTGGTAAGTTAATGGTACATTCTCACTGGATTTTCGTATGTTTCTCAGTTTCTTGTTCCTGGTTGAAACTTATCTGACTTTTGTAGAATGAATGTCTTTATTCTATTTTCAGTCTTTGCACACACACAACAAAAACAAAAGCCTTGTATGTCAATAGGTGAGGTTGGCCACATTGATCACATGACGATAGCATTTGGCTTGGTTATGGACCAAATCTTCAGATATATTTAGCATGAGATCTCTTTTAACAATTTCTTTCAATGTTCTTGGTCTGCTTCTCCCCCTTTTTTCACAGGACAAAAAACCTTCATTATACTCATTGGTGCTGTCAACGACCTTCTTTGTGCTTTACCCATACCACCTTTATTAATTTTCTGTCATGTTTTTCTGGTTTATTGCGCCCATGGGAGGCTTTAAATTTGTTTTATCTTGAACGCATTCATTCCACCATTAACATTTTCTCAAACACACACTAACATGTATACATATATTTTATGGGATGCCTTTTTATATTTACAGCAAATAATAAAACATCAAAATCAAAAAGGAAACATCAAATGGATGGTACAGCATCTTCACATCCAACAAAGATTTTAAAAATTTCAAATGGTGGTGCTTTTCTGGATGGCAGTAAACAAGTTATTGTGGAAAGGACGAAGTCTGCTAAATCCAAACCATTGAACTTGTGTCCTAAATCTAGTGGATGTGCTAGGACTTCTATTGATGGTTGGGAGTGGCATAAATGGTCTAGAAGTGCCAGTCCTGCATATAAAGCACGTGTTAGGGGCCTTCCGAGTGTCCAGAACAAGTGCATATATTCTGAAAATAATTTATCTCAGTTGCCAAATGGTAAGGGTCTTTCTGCAAGAACAAATAGAGTAAAATTACGTAACCTTCTTGCTGCTGCAGAGGGTGCGGATCTTCTGAAAGTGCCTCAATTGAAGGTGATTGAACAATAGAAGTGTTTTTGACCATTTTTATTTAGAGCATCTTGATATGTCAGATTTAAACTATTTATTTGCATTTCTCAGGCACGGAAGAAGCGATTACGTTTTCAAAGGAGCAAGATCCATGACTGGGGACTTGTTGCCTTGGAGCCAATTGAAGCAGAGGACTTTGTGATTGAGTATATTGGAGAACTAATTCGTCCTCGGGTAATAAAAGAACTGTTGTGACAACTATTCATATTTTAAGGTCATATTGTTGGTTGATTTTGCAAAGTCGATTTGAATTTATATATATATATATATATATATATATATATATATATATATATATATTTTGTATGTCGAATATGTATAAAGACCATTAAACTAGCTGGTTTCTCTTTATAGAATTTCCAAATTTCTTATAAATAAATGTTGAGGATGATGGAGTACTTTTTGTCTGTCTAATTGCACTTGAGTGAGCACAGGTACTCTGGGTGCTAGGTTTTTTACTAGTTTCTTATCTTGTGGTTTCCTTTTAAAGAATAAATGCAGCATGAGTCTTTTTATGGCTGTAGAATTTGTAGTTGTACAAGAGACCTTTCCTCATTAAATGTGTGCTAAACACGGATTTAGTTGATGTCATGGCAGTTGGAATTTCATTAATTGCAATTTGTTGCGACTCTTCACCCAAATGAAACAATCTATATGGAGTTGTTTTTTTACCAGAATCCCGCATTGAATTGACAATCATTGAGGAATTGCTTGAATGTTAATTCTGTTGTGATTCTTGCAATATGATATGGAGGGATGGTGAACTGCTACAGTGTGATGATGAACCGGGGATGCAATGGGTAGGAGTGTTCAGAATGCTTGCTGTTGGTTAAACTTTCAAAGATGGGTCTGGGCACTGGCACTGAGGATGGTGGTGGGGTTGTTGTGAGATGAGACACGCCACATATTTGAGCATCTTAGGATGTACAGGGGCAGACAAAAGGAACTGAAGAGGTGAATGAGCAAGAAAATGGGTTTTTTAGAGTTAGGTTTTGAAAATTAGAGAGAGAAGAGCTTGGAGAAACATAAGTATTATTGTGCATTGTGTTATTCCATATTTAAACCAATAAGCATCAGTTGAAGTTACCCTTCAGTTATCTACAACCAACAGACCTCAAAAGCTTAAGGCAATTGATGTGGGACCTTCCTACACATTGATAATGAGGAAATAATTAATTTCTACTTTTAGAGTTTTTTTTATTCATAAAACATTCTGTATTGTTTTGAAAATTTGATAATGAATCTTAATGTCTTCTGATTTGCATTTCAATTCTTGTTTGACCACCCCACTAATGAATCTTAATTTGTCTTCTGATTTTCATTTCAATTCATGATTGACAACCATGCAATGGTCAATATTGTATGGGAAACTGATGATTTTTTCTTTGACAGATATCAGATATACGGGAACGTCAATATGAGAGGACGGGAATTGGAAGCAGTTACCTTTTTAGACTTGATGATGGTTATGTGGTCAGTAAATATTGCTTTAATTATTAATTTTTTATTTGGATGTTTCATTTATCTTGCTTATGTAAGGTGACTATGAAGTCATTGTTTCAGATGGATCTGATTTTTTATTCTCCCTATCCTCCCTATGTTGGCATTGATTGATATCTTTACTATGTTTTTCTATGATTGAATAATAATGAAGTTTATGGATCAAAGAGTAGCCAGAGTAAAATCTCACGGATTGTGTTGTCTTTTTAAATTTTGTGGATAGTGGGTTTATACATTAAAAGGTAGATGATAGGTTTATAACTAAAATGTTGAATGTCAGACCTAAGTAAGTATTGACTCTGTAAGTTGGGTTTGAGTTCAATAATTTGATAAAGCAAATATTCTTACAAATGGGCTAGTGGATGATCATCTAAATAGATAGTTTTGGTTAAATTCCCTGTTATATCATATCTGGCTTACTATCAAACACAGGCTTTCTTGGTAAGCCAATCCTGACACATCATAATTTTGTCTTGTGATTGGTTAGTCCACTAGATCTACAAACATATTACCTAAATAAAGTGTTACATTACATGTATTTTTTGCATGTTTTCTCATTAGTATTCTATGGATAAAAGTATATGTTGATAAATTCGAATCCAGTGATAACTATTGAAATGATACATTTATTTTTCATGTTCGAGTATATGCAGGTTGATGCCACAAAGAGAGGTGGAATTGCTAGATTTATTAACCACTCATGCCAGGTACTTTTTCTACTGTTATTTTTTGTATTATTCATGCATTTAAAGAAGTGTTTTTGGGTGTATACACTTCACTTCTGTTCGTGATTTAACGTTTCTCCTAATTTGGACTTTTTTTTGGCAGCCCAACTGCTATACAAAGGTTATATCTGTTGAGGGTCAAAAGAAGATTTTCATATATGCAAAACGACATATAAAGGCTGGTGAAGAAATAACATACAATTACAAGTTCCCCTTGGAGGAGAAAAAGATTCCTTGCAACTGTGGTTCCAGAAAGTAAGATGATGAAACTTCAATTTCTGAGCATGTTTTATTTTTTCTATCGCTGCTAGATATATTAGCTATCTTAATTTATTAAAAAAAATTGCTGTGTATACCGTATTGAATGATTGTCTTGTGTTACTTACACATGAATATTCAACCATTACAATGAGTTATTACTTAATATCTCACTCAAGTACAAGCCAGATCATGAAACACAAGAGTTTTCTATTTTATTGCCTGATTTACTACTGGTACAAAACGTTTGCATCACCCTTTTGATTATTGCTTTCAGATTTTACTTAATTACGCACAATGCATTATAAACCCTTCACTGGAGTCCTATTCTTCCAGTGTGGGACTTAGTCCTTTACATCTAAAATAATGCATGTTTTTTTTTTCTTTTCTGATGATATAATCCTAGTTGATGAATATGAGGAATAAATATTAGCTTTTGTTTGTGTAAGAGAAACAAAAGGTTTTCTGTTACATTGAAATATTAGTAAGGTGAAGAATGCGGAATGCAATTTAGCTAGGTACGGGTTATAGAAATTGTAGCAAGTATTCTGGATCTATTTTACTTGTTTAGAGATGAGGGAATGTGACACTTCTAGATTCAGGTTGGATGAATGCAATGTTGTTAAATAGGGGTCATGGTGGAATGTGGTGGTGGATATCACTTAGGTAGCCATGAAATGGCAGTTGTAGGTTTGATTTTTGACGGTGGGCTGTGGCAGCCATAAAACAGATGGCGGACAGCATCTGAAATGACCATGGTGAAGTACCTGTGGAGAATGAAGAGGTGAAGAACTAGCTGTTGTAGTTGGAGAGCCCACACCCTAATAAACTGCCCACTAGAATCACAGATTTCCGATGTTGGACTTGGATACTAATATGCCAATGTCACCATGCATTGCTACCCCAACACTTGCTCTGGCTGGTTGTACACTAGTCTTCGAATAGTCTCAGGAAACATTCCCATGTTGATGTCTCCACTTGTACTGAGGCTGAGGTACATGATGGAAGGTTCTAATTCTAATTGATAGAAACCTGGTATATTATTAGAAAGACCAAACGAATTCTATCCTGCAGAATTTCAAAGGTCTGCATCTCCAAATGCCCAAAAGGTCACAATTCCCTCACAAATGATAAAATGATCTCTTTCTTCTCTAACGTATCTTATTGACAATGCCCGCATGTTCTAATTATCCCCAATCTCCATCTAAGTAGCCAACCATTTCTATCTATTCCATTAACTATCTATCTAGCAGGTATCGAACCTATCATAACTAATTCCTAAGAGTTACCTAACAAAAACCAATAGGAAAGACCTTGATCTGAATTAAATTTTTTGAATAATTGGTTTTTTATGATGAATCACAATGGTCTTTTTGACAGATATTTGAGTTTGATGTGTATTCATTCAGAACATTTAGGACAAAAATGAAGGTGGAAAACTGCTGTTTTCTTGTCATTGCGTGTGGTTTAGATATACTCATAATAACATATCTATGTATTTATTATGCAGGTGTCGTGGATCATTGAATTAGGCATTGATTGGATTTTTGATACTGGTATGCATTTATTGCTGAAGGTGAATTTTGTTGTATACAGCTTCACTCTAAATTGTGTCATGTTTTTGTAGGTCATTCTTTTCAAAGCCCACATGTTAAATTATTGAGTGGACAGGATTTTCAACATAGGTTTGTACTCGTATTGCATATTAGAGTTTAATCATGGTATTCAATCCTGTTAATCATTTCATTTCAAGAGCTTCTGCTTTCTTGTCCCTTTACATGCACTCATTTTGGAAATTTTTGGTTAAGGGAGTTTATGCACTTATGTGCATTCAACTCTTTAAACTTGTGAATGTGGCTTTAATTTATTAAACATGTGAATTGATATTTTGGAAAAGAGTGCACCTTAAGTGTGATTGTTTGGTAGGTACAACTGATCTGAAAAATTATATGGCTTTGATTGGAACATTTAGTATATCATTATTGTTGTTTTGTTTCCAGGGTAATACTCTTTCCATAATTGTTGGATGTTGCATTCTGAAGACTTGACTCTTATTTTAATATTTCACTTGACTTCAAATGGGATGAGTTGCAAAAGTAGTTGTTTGTGATCATACTTTGTACGTTTCTGCTCTCAATAATCTCTGGTGTTCATAGGGGTTATTTTTTATTTTTAAAATACTAGATTGTTATTTTATTTTTACATTACATGATGTGGCTACCTCTGCATTGCGATAGGTAACTGTCAAAGGAATATAGAGGTTATTAGTTGTATAGATTCCATTTCATCTGTGTAAAGACTTACTATGTTTACCTGTTAATAAATGTATTGTCCTTATACTCATTGGGTGCCTGTTTAATAACTGCTTTCTGCTCCGTTATTTTACAACATGCATTGTGTTTTTAGTCATCACATTTCTAGGATTTTCCTAACTACATGGAGATTTCTTTATGGTTGTTGATATATATCTTTGTGAAAATGTTCAAGTACTGTTCTTTGATTGTGTACTCCAAATTGTATGAACTAATCTAATTCCAGTTAATAATGAATACAATTTACCTTGGCATAATACGGAAAGTCTAAATTTTATATCTTATGATTGTGGTGGGGCTAGCATGTCCCGTGGCCATAAATTCTTTTGCACCATTATGAGTTTATACTGTTACCAATTTTTTTTATTAGGGTAGCTAAAGAATGATTTAGTTTTAGTTTCAGACGTCATGTGTTAACTATAATCCATATGATCCACTGAATCAATCGTGTCTTTCTTCAAAACCTAATATGGTGCATGTCTAGACTTTCACATGTTTGGTTTCCTGTTTGTTGATTTGCTTTTAGATAAATGATATGTTGAAATTGAGTATTCCTTAAGTAGGAAATGTAGGCTTATAGTTTCGATAGCTCTCCCCACTCCATCTTTTTCTACTTGGAGGTTCTTGGTGTGTTAAATATAATTTAAAACAAAAACATGCAATCTAGTGCACGAGTTCTTGTTATTGATTTAAGTATTGTGGTGTTTCAGGTTATGGATCAGCGTCATTGATGATATAGGCTGCAATGAATAATATTGATGATTGATATACAATTTGGATTACCTGCTCGTTTGGTGATGAATTAAGTAGCTCGTTCATTCTTGTGGACTTTTTTGTGGCAGTTGAGTTTCTTCTCTTTGAAGCTGTAAATAATTGTTTCCATGTATATATTTTTTGGTAGTGAAGGAATTATTTGTTACAAAAATTTTCTAATTCATTAATGAGTAAAAAGCTTTGGAAACATTAGTACAAGCTATTGAAAATTAAAACTGTTAATCTCAAATCCCCATTCCTGCCCCCTAATTATTCACATTTGACAGTTACACTCGTTTATATAACAAAGATTTGATTGAATTATATTAAAAGTTGCGGCTTAATAAGTTGCAACTATGTAATATATCTACATTCCAATAATGATGTTATTGAAATTTTATTGATATATCAGTCCTTTCTAAACAGTTAACTCTTATGTTTCTTTAGCAGAGACTGAATGCTCTTTTGGTCTCTATGAAAGTATATGCCTCAAAAAATAGGGTTAACTGCACTTTTGGTCTTTGTAGGTATTATTGCAATTGTATAATTTTAATCCTAAGTTTTCGTAATGTTAGTTGGGATTTTTATGTATGGTAAAGGTGTGATTTTTGTCTCTCAGGTTTCAGTTGAGTTCCTTGAAATATCACTATTGTGATTTTATTCCTTTTGTTATTTGGAATTTGTTGATTTTATTTTGATTGATGAATTGTTTGAAAGATTAAAATTGCACAATTGTGCGATACCTTGGACCAAATTGATGCAATTGAAACTTTGGGACTAAAATTACTCATTCTTTTGTAATATTTAAGAGATTTAATTGACTCAATTGGAATTTCAGAGACTACAATTTTAGAATTGCAATACCCGATGGAGCAAACATGTAATTAAGTCTAAAATTATTAGCTATACTTGGAAGCTTTTCCCATCTGTCAACAATACTATGGTTAAGGGTGATCGTTTCGTGTTATTCATTGAAATATATACTACTATGTACTTATATAATTAATGTTTATTTTAGCACTCTAGTTTTGAGATTCTAAAAATAGAAGAAATTGTGGTTATTGGCTACTTGAATTTTTAAAGTCCTTTCTCTCCTTTATTGCCAGTTTTAATCGTGTATGAGCGTGTAAATAGTCACGAAAAAAAAGCCTCTTGTGGTAATTTTGATCAGTGTATCTTACTAGTGCGTAGAATTTGTAGATAAAATTGGTAGAATTTGTAGATAAAATTGGTTGCCTTTTATCTTTTATTTATTTTGCTTCCCTCCTTCAATTCCTGTGGTTGCAGGATTAGCTCACATAGGAATACCGTTTTAGTTTGCTGAGTTGGATTGTGCCTACTGGTATGTTTCTCTTTCCGTTCCTTGTTCTAGTGGTTCTTGGTGACTGGTGAGTTCTTTCTTATTTCTTTTCCAGTGATTCCCATTTCCATAAATTCTTTGACAAAATATAATGTGCACCAGCCAAAAAGTATTTAAGAAGTGAATTCCTAGTTAAAAATTACAATATGGATGCACAGATTAAAAAGGATTTCACCTCTATTGGTTGAATTAGTTCCTTGCTTTATTTATCTCCGTAATTACTTGCTTACGAATAACAACGAATTCGGTGCAAATTATACTGATTTTTCACGTCTTATTTTACCTGTGTAAATAACTTCACCCATTCCAACAATTATTTTCTGTTGAAGTATTAAGTTCTTGTGGAGGTTGTAGCATAATATAAATGATAAATTATGAAACAACCACTATAAGTTTCTTTAATGTCCACGAAAATTGAGATGAATTCATAAATCAACATCGGTCGTGAGGAGTTTGCTTAAAAGTTGTGAATGTGTTATGTACATTGGTTAGGAATATTAGGTCGTATTGTTTTATACAATTAAACTCCCATGTGAACATTTGTGGAAATATAAAAAAAACCAATTATTTTACAAATCCATTGACACTATCATCCACAGACAGAATGACTGTCTGTGTTTTATTATTAGCATTGACAAATGATACACTTTAAAGAGAAAAAAAAAACGGAAGGGACCAAGCACGATAATGGTTGGCTTAAGGCAAAACGTTACAAATCCAATTGAGAAATGTGGTTTGCCTTGGCTTTCCAAAAGATTCGAGTCTAATCTTTCGACTTCAAGAATGATCAAAATGCTAAAGCTTGTATGCACAATATTGTGGTCTAGTTGGAAACACCTCAACATCGGTGGCGGACCCATATATAATTTAATATTTTAATTATAATTTAATTTTTGTTAAATTATAATTTAATATTTTAATTTTTTTTGCAAGTATTAAATTTATATATTGATTCCGTAGTCAAATTATGTACTTGAACACTGATATAGGAGTGTGTAATGTATTTTTTGTCCCCACTCGTTCAGGGTCTTGGATCTGCCACTGGTCATCATAGAGCTTGGCTGCACTTGTTGGCCTTTCGGATTATAAAACATCAAGCAAACTCAACTGAATAATCTAGTGGTGTGCCTTGTCACAGAAGTTTAAGGATGAACCGGTTCATTGTTTTGCATCTATGATCATCTAAGTGGGTATTCCCATAATCTTTCAAGTGCTTGATTTTCTTCTTTCATACTGGCAATTGCCATTTTCATACAAAATGGTCATGTATTTTGAGCAATTAACTCCGCCTGTGTCTCATAATAAAACACAGCCGGTCCCCAGCCCGGACAAAGGAGGAGGGTTGCAATTTCAAGTTTCTGATGAAAATTAAGATATATCTTTAAGTTAATGAAAATACTACATGTTTCGTATAAATATTTCACTTACCATGGCGCATAATCTATGGCTTAATTTTGTATGGTCAAAATAATTTATTCATAATATCGTGTTTGTTTTGTTTGTGATAGTTTAATGTGTACTTTTGTTGAGTTTTGTAATATTGTGTGATATTGTTTTCATAACAACCCTAGAACCTAAGATTTGTGGTACTGAGCAGTTGTGGTATAAGCACACAGAGATAAACAATATTTTGTTCTTTTAACTTGTATTTTTATTCTTTAAATTCATGCTTCAAATTGAAAAGAACTATACAGCCTTTAGAAGAATGAAATATGCTCTTATATGGTTGAGTATCTCATTATATTTCTCCACTTTAAATTTCTAATTTGTGTTCAACAACGTGTCATGTTGCAAGTGGAATAATGTATTTTTGGTATGCATGATCCCTCTTCATATAATTTTTGGATGTCTAGGAAAAATGAGAACAGAAGAATCATGTCAAAGAATGGGGAATGTGACAGAAAGCTTATTTGAAGAAAATGTATTGGCTTTCTGAAAGGATTCGTATGTCCATAAAGAAAAGAAAAAGAAAAAGAAAAGCAAATTCTCTTTGAATGAATCTATTTTCAAAAGCGACACTAACAGATATGCTTTGAATATTAGAATAAGTTATCCTCGAATATTACATTTTGTACATTTTGTGAAGAGTCATTCTCTCACTTTTTTACTTGTCTCTGTTTTCGATATAACTCTTAGAAAAAAAAGATTCCCAATTGAAAAAATATTATTGGTTTACCAACACCAGCTGTCGGATTTTCATTCAAGATCAACTTTCTTCTAACATATATTCTTTTAATAATATCATTTATTGTTAATTAGAATATATTGAAAATTTTAAATTTTAATAAGTTTTTACCCTATTTAAGTTTTCCCTTTACTTTAATATTTTTAATTAATAAAATATATATGTTTTACAAAGACTATGTAATTAATTACATTCTTATGATTTCAGTAGTCTAAATTTGTCATAATGTTAATGCCACGGAATGCTTAACCTTTTTAGGTAACACATGGTGGTTTGATTAATAAGACGTATTAAACAAAGGTAATTATGTAAATAATTCTTTTTATCAATTTCAATTCTGTCTTTTTTTATTTCTAATTTGTGGTCTCAGATAAAATATATGTTTTTGTTTTCAACGATATTTTATATTTTTCTTTTAAACCTTGGTTAATTAAGTTCAGAATATGTTTGTAAAAGTTATTTAATGAGCATTTGTTGGAGGAAAATAAGAAAAAAGTTATAATAAATTTTTTATAACATGTTTAGAAAAATTCATATAAAATATATTTAATTATTAGCTACCAAAATTTTATTCTCTTAATTAATCACACTAACATCAACTATCAAGATTTTGACTATAAAAAAATTAGTTTCTAAATTAGTCTTTAATTAAAAAATAAATTTCTAAATATATTTTTGTTACTAAAATTAATCACTATTTAATAGTTTTTTGTTGTGTATATAATTTAGAATAAATATAATATATGTATGACGTTAAAATTATATGCGCGGCGGACTTTTATTTCATTTAAAGAAAAAGTTACTTATGTATTAAGTTGCATTAGAAGTTGATAAAAAAAGAAGTATTAGAAGTTATAAATGACTTAATTTTTGTTGAGATAAGAATGTCAATTAAACAACACATCTTCACATTTTATTGTTAGAAGTTTGTTTCGATTTTGATGAGAATCTAAATTAATTGGATATAAGAATGGATAAAAGGTAATATTCTACTTTTGTTTTTGTTTAATTAGATACAGAATCATGAGAGTGAGTATGCTCATCTCTAATTTAAATTATAAATTTTTTGTCTTCAATTTTTTTTAATTTATTTATAATATTTGATCATTAATTTTTTTTATAATTTTGAACATTTTCTGTATAATTAATATTTGATACTTTGATATTTAAATATTTATAATTTTTTTCTTAATATATTGAAAAAATATATACACTTTATTATTGAATATTTGATACGAACTTGTCATACACCATACGAGTGTGTTCCTTGATATATAGAAGTGAAAAGGAAACAAGTCATAATGAAAATATACTTCAAGATAAAAAGATGAAATAGTTAAACATGTACCTAGTTTATTAAGGATCCATTTATAGACATCTTTTATGTATATTTCATAACAAATTTATAAAGTTTGGATTATATTTGTAGGTGAACAATATGGAAAAATAGGTTAAAAATGAATATTAATTAGGTTAAGTAATGAATAAGTAAGATATGATCGTTGTATAAAAGGCAATCTATGGTTTGAATAAAAACTGAACAAGTGGCAGAAGAATTCAAGAGTTTCATAGTGACGATGCAGTACCAAGAAATAACAGGTTTTGTAGAATCATCCCATGTTTCCACAGATTTATCACTAAGATTAGCATCCTCCGAAAACAAAAGCAATGAGAGAAACAGAAAGGGGAGAAAGAAAAAGTCAATGAAAATGTCTTACTAATATTTTCTCGATCCTTTCTCAAACTATTTATTAGATTCTTAGATAAGTTCTGTCTTTGATGTTCTAAAACATTTAGGTGTTTTTCACTTTGTTATGATCATGTTGAATGGATTGATTTACTGTTGAATTCTTTGAATTATGTTTTATTAGTAAAATATTTATTTTTTCTGTTGTCAAATGTTGTCAAAACGTAATAGGCATCGAAATTCCAGCGGTAGTTTCTATTTTTCTTTTTTTTTTCATACTTATATTTTCACAACAGTGGTAAGAATTTTTCTTGGTAGGGAGAGAATTTGTTTCAGGCTAATGTATTAAACTTATATCACTTTTGGCTGATAAAAATAACATTCATCACACACATATATGCAAACATTTTATCCCATAAAATTAGCCAAAAGTAGTGGCTTGCGAGGAATTATTGACACTCCAACTTGTATGACTTTTTTTCTTAATGGTAACAATGAATTATCTATTTATTTATTATATTTCTTTGACATTATTAATAATTGATAGGTAGATGTTGTCTGGCATTTAAACCACTGGAATTTACTGCTAGAACTTCCTTGTGAATATGACCAATACATGAAAATAGGCACTCTTAATTCAGCATTAATTGTATACATAAGCAAGTAGCATTCACTGAGACGCAAGACAACTCATACCTTTTGACTCAGTTTGACTGAACATAAGATTACAACACAGTTTTTCTTTGTACTTTTCTGGTTGAACTTTATAGTAGAATCAGTATCCCAATGCATGCCTTGTAGCATCATTTCCTCAACTTCTTCATTTTGGTAGTAATTGTTCAGAGGATCCAGAGACAGAAGAAGAATACAAGAAAGCAGAAGAGAAAGAAAAACATGCCATACAACAAATTTACTATAATTATTACTAGGATATGTAACACAAGAAAATGACTATTATTTGGTAACATTAAGAACAAAAATTTCACACAATTAGTCAAATAGTTGTGCTTGATCTATAAGTAATCCATTGTTTTGTAAAATAATTTATTAAAACCATCATGCAGTGACATTTTCTTTTCCTTTTCTATCCAACATTCAATTATGCACACGTCATCTGAGGCTAAAAAGATGAAAAAAAATCACCAATTTGGTCAATAAATGGAATTGAATGCACCAATACAATGTTCTCCATTATCCTTACACCCTATATTAGTTACTCATTATTGAATACTTTTGGGCAAAAGGAATCTTGCCTGCATTTCACATATTACTCCCCTCTCCAAACATAATGTATACTGGATCGAATCGAACACGGATATTATCTATTCATAACTCGACTTACAAAAAAGATTTGATCAGTAATCTGCCTGCTACCTGCAAGGATATCCACTTAAAAAATACCTCAGAGTATTTTAAAACCCGCAAGTACTCACAAATATCCACAAAAAATAAAAAAAAATGTATTTTATATATTTTTTAAATAAAATTATAAAAAAAATATATAATATAATATAAAGTAAATTAAATATAAATTAAAATTTAATTTTAATTAAATTTAACCTAATAAAATAAAAATTAATTTTATTTTTAATTAAATTTAACTTAAAAAAAGTAAAAATTAATATTTTTTATTATTTTTTGTTGTTAACGAGTATATATGGGGCGGATAGTTTAATACCTGCACCCAACCCGTTTAGAAACGGGTATTAAAATATTTCGCTACCGGTTACCCGCGAATAATAAATATTCGCGGATAATGAGTACCTGCTGCGGATTTTTTTGTCATTCCTATATATATATATATATATATATATATATATATTTTTTTTTTTTTTTTTTTAATTATAAATATGCAAGTTTAACTTTCTGAATGAATTTTGTTATTTTAGGTTGTTTTTGACGAAGAAAACAAAGTACAACATATTTACTATATAGGTAATACGTGAAGAAATAACATGAACAAAATGAATTTGATTGGTGTTAGAAAATATTCAGAAGACTAAGTCAAACCTTCCCGTAAAAAGATTCACTCTAATGTGACATGCTTTACTCCCAGTAACATATGATGAAGGTACTCTCTTCCTTCTATATGAATTAGTTATGGTGTTGGATATATGCAATTTCACAAACCTAAAACAATTAGTTTTATCTTCATGCTTGAACCACATCTCTCTCCTAATCTTGTTCCCTTCTGCATGAAATCTTGAATATGCAAGATTAATATAATGGATGAGACAAAGGACAAGATGACTAGTGATATTTAAAACATATAAACATAACACAATAAACAATCAAGATTCATATAACTATAATATTAGCTTAGAAATAAAGTTGGAATAGAGGCTGAAGAATAAAGTTATCAATTTGATTCATTTTTCATGGACCAACTCTGGTTCACTTTTCAAAGATGTCCCTTTTAAGAATGTCTCTAAAGTGAGGTTGAAAGAAAGTTTCTTTATTTTAAGTGGGCTATGCTTAAAATTTAGATAAATTTGATTCTATTACAAGATTTCAATTTGAAAAAAAAATAGTTTTATACATATATAAAATTATATATTTCATTAGATAATCTACTATATTATAATTTTATTATATTTAAATCAATATTTTTATATCATATTTATTATT